TGTCCCTTTTTCCTTTATCTCTCTCTCACTTTTTCTTTCTTTTTTTCTTTTTTCTTTTTTTCTTTTTTTCTTTTTTTCTTTTTTTCTTTTTTCTTTTTTTCTTTTTTTCTTTTTTTCTTTTTTTCTTTTTTTCTTTTTTTTCTTTTTTCTTTTTTTCTTTCTTCCTTTCTTTCCCTTTCTCTCTCTGTGTGAGTCTGTGTGTGCGTGTGTATGTGTGACAGTGGTGGGTTTCAAAATTTTTTGGAACCTCTTCTGTAGGTGTGGCCTGCTTTCCGGGTCCACTGGTGGAACCTCTTCTAACCAGTTCGGTAGATTTGACACCCTTTTCTACCGAACTGGTGCGAACTGGCAGGAATCCACCTCTGATTCAAAGTGACAATAAAGTTATTCTAAGTCTAAGTCTTAACCAGGAGCTCTGAGGGTGCAATGGCTAGAATGCTATATTGCAGACTAGCTCTGCCGACTACCAGAAGTTCAAGCCTGACCAGCTCAAGGTTGATTCAGCCTTTCATCCTATCCTTCTGAGGTTAGTAAAATGAGGACCCAGATTGTTAGGGACAATATGCTGATATTGGTAAACTGTTCAGAGTGTGTAGTAAAGCACTAAGGAGCAGTATATAAGCCTAAGTGCTATTGCTATTAGCTTGCTTCCTTGAGTTTCTGTAAACTCATGCTGGTATCACCAGCATCTAGCCACTCTGTCTTCTGTCAGCTTTTTAAAAAAATTGTTTCGGACGTAGATGCATCCCAAACATTAAAGTCTTAGCTTCATTACACAAGCCTGGCTTTTAAATGTGTTAGTGCTAAGCAATTTATTCCTTTCATCAATGGACACCTAGGGTAATTTTAACATCTCCTAATAAGAGAATGCCATAAAAAAAGATTGTGAGAATGCTTATAAGATCTAAGCCACCCTAGGAAGGCCAAAAGCATTTGATTGGAGGCACTACGAATATAATACTAATTTAACGTTTTACAATTTTATTTTGTTCAATCTCCTTTGCCGATGTGTTTTTTGTCTCAGTTCATCTCCAGCATACATATCATCTGTAAGAGGTCTGCTCTCCTTTTCAACCAATTCAAGCTGGTTTCTGCAATACAAGAAAAATGTATGGCTTTTATTTGTTAGGGACAGATTAATGGGCTTCTGTGGCCTGACTCACACACTTTCAGTTTCGAGCAGCAGGCTCCCAAATATTTGTGTGCATGTTAGCCCTTCTTGCTGTGTTTGTTGTGTTAATTGCATAAGACTACTAACAAGAGTCTGCAGAAGAAACTGTCAGGCCTCTTCCTTACAGGCATGAGATTTTAGCCTGCTGTGTGCTGGTTCATAAACCTTTTCCCAGCCTTATTAGCTTTGTGCATTTGTATCTTCTTGGTACTATTTACCCAAATGAGAAGGCAGAAGCCAGCAGCTGCCCAGAGCCATAAGGGATATTATGCCCCATCATAGCTACTGCCTTGGTATTCTGTTTAGTTATTCATCCCCAGGAAAGATCAGTTAAATTTTCAACCAATTAGTGCAAATAGACACAAGGGGGAAGCTGTTTTCATGGGGATTCTGCTTAAATGAAAGCAGACTTTCTGTGGAAATTAACTGAGAGAAATAAAAGAGAAACCATGCATGGAACTAAGAATGGGCTCTTTTTACATAACCTTTCTATTCACAGTTGATGCTAGGCCACAATTTATAAATTATGCCTTGTTGAACAATATGGAAACAAAGCAGAACCAGTCTTATGCAGGAGCAAAATATGTATGATTTGTCCATTTCTAGTTTGTTTGTTTTTCCCCTCCCTTTTTAAAGCTCACCAATACAGCATATTAGCCAGAGATTTACAAATCAACCATGTAGCCTTATCCACTGATCCAGTGGTGGGTTTCAAAAATTGTTCAAACCTACTTTGTGGGTGTGGCCTCCTTTGTGGGAGTGGCTTGCTGCCCATGTGACCGGATGGGAGTGGCTTGCCGCCCATGTGACCGGACACTTGTTAGAACCACCTTAAATTACCTCACACACA